ATTCTTTGCCCATAAAAAGGAATGAACTACTAATAAAACAAACAGCATGCATGTTACAGGGAAAAAAATACCATAAAAAATATAAGAAGATATTGTAATTGGCTGAATTGTGGCCCTCGGAAATTTCATGTTGAAATCCTAACCCCTAGTACCTCATAGTAGACCATATTTGAAGATAGACTTTTAAAGATATAATTAAAATAAGGTCATTTGGGTGGGTCTAATCCAATATGACTAATGTCCTTATAAGAAGTTGAGAATTACAGGACATTAAACAGGCACAGAGAGACCATATGAAGATACCAAAAGAAGGTGGCAGCTCTAAGCCATAAAGAATGGCCCACAGTAAAAACCAACCCTGCCAGTACCTTGATCTTGAACTTCTTTCCTCTTGACCTCTAAAGAAATCTGTTTCTGATATTTAAGCTCCCCAGTCTGTTGTACTTTGTTGTGGCAGCCCTAACTACATAATGCAGATGCTTTCTTTGTTAATAATTAAGGAAAGACTGGGATTGTGGCTCAGTGGTAGTGCACTTGCCTAGCACATTCGAGGCCCTGGGTTCAATCCTCAGTACCACATAAAAATAAACAAAATAAAAATATCGTGTACAACTATTTTTAAAAAATAATAATCAAGGAAATGAAAATTAAAACCATCATGAGATTCCATTTAACCTGTCAAAAATAAATGTAGACAAGAATGAATCTTAGCAAGACTATGTATTAACAGAAACTCACATGCTGCAAATTGGAAGACCCAATTTGAAGATATTTGGGCACAAGGGAGTCTTAGCATCTGGACTATGGTTTGTGGTTATATGAAGCTGCACATGTGCATAGAGCCATATAAATGAACATACCCAAAGGAGTAAGTGTATAATTGGTGGAATCTAAATAACCTTTATGGTGTATACCAATGTCAATTTTCTAGCTTTTTATTGTGTGATAGCTATGCAGGATGCTGACATTAAGAAGTACACAGGAGGGCTGGGGATGTGGCTCAAGCGGTAATGCGCTCGCCTGGCATGCGTGGGGCGCTGGGTTCGATCCTCAGCATCACATAAAATTATTTAAAATAAAGATGTTGTGTCCACCGAAAACTGAAAAATAAAGAGAGAAAGAGAAAGTACAGGACTCCTTTGCAACTTTTTTCCATTTCCTTGACTAGAAATCTGAAATCTTAAGTGTCAGCAAGCTGTACTTCCTCCAAAAGCTTTAAGGGAAAAAGAGTTCCTTACCTCATCGGGTGTCTGAGGCGATGTGGCCACATCACTCCACACTCTGCCTCAGTGGTCACATTGCCTTCTCCTTTTGTCTGTGTAATTTTCTTAATGTCTTTTGTTTTTTGAGAGAAAGAATTTTTTAATATTTATTTTTTAGTTTTCAATGGACACAACATCTTTATTTTATTTTTATGTGGTGCTGAGGATCGAACCCAGCGTCCCGCGCATGCCAGGCGAGCTCGCTACCGCTTGAGCCACATCCCCAGCCCTTTTAATGTCTTATCATTGGATTTAGGGCCCACCTAGGTAATCCAGCATGCTTTTATCTCAGAATCCTTAATTACATCTGCCAAAACACTTTTTCAAAAGGAGGTAACATCCACAGATTTCAGGGATTAGGACATGGGCATATCTTTTGGGAAGTTACCTTCAGCCCACTATAAATGTTAATATCATAAAAAGAGGCAAGTCAGGGCAAACCTTCTCATGAAAGTAAAGCCTACCTTGCCAAAACAAACAGAAACAAAGCAGACCCAAACAAACACAAACCTGAATCTAATTAAGCCTCTAGATTCAAAAGCCAATTTAAGGAAAAACAGGAAGTAAAACATTCCCAGGATGCAGTCAACAAAATTCAGACTCAGAAACTCAACAAACAAAAACCTGGGCTTCTTCAACAATTGAATTGATTGCAAGAAAGGAAAAAGGAGGAAGAAAGAAATTTACAGTGTATGAAAAGAACATCATCTTAAACAACATCAGCTTTCCCTCACCAGATTCTCCCCACCACTCCTCACCCCATCTCACCTCTTCAGTCAGGATTCAGTATCATCTTCTTTGCTCTCCCTGTACCCTCTATGTGCTTCCATTGTGTGCTTTAGCTGTGTAACCTATTTAGTTCTCCCAGCTTCCACATTATAAGCAACATCCAGTTGCGCTCTGGGGACTGACTTTATTTGGATCCTAATTCGAAAAACTTTTAAAGAATAGGGAAATTTGAACACTAATTGATATGTTAGTCTTGTAAATTTTAAACTGAATGTGTTTTCTTAAGACCCCTATTCTTTTAGATAGGATATTGAAATGTTTATAGATGAGATTGAAGTAAGTCTAGGACTTACTTCAATGTAATTAGTGACAGAAGAAGTAGATGAATTTATAGATGAAACAAAATTGTCCATGAGGGGATGTTTTTGAAAACTGGGTCATGAGCACATGGAGATACATATTACTATTGTCTCTACTTTTATGTGTGTTTTGAAATTATCTATAACAAAAAGTTTAAAGTCTGTAAGAATTGACCTGTCCAGTCTGCCCTTGCCCCACCCATCATAGTGCTTGAGGATTTGTTTGGCTAGTGATCCTCCCAGCTTTTCTTCATGGTAATGAGTGAGGCTTTGAGGGCTGGATCATTAGCTTTCAGTTATTCTAGCTTAAAATTAGAACCCAAGAAAAGAACAAAATACATTTCCCTTTGAGAATATGTTTTTTCAGTGAGTATTCCTTGACCAGAATCTCCCCATCATCCTCACCCCGTCTCACCTCTTCCGTCTGAATTCAGTATCGCCCCTTTTGCTCTCCCTGTACCTTCTGTGTACTTCCACAGTGTATTTGGAACTGTGTAATCTATTTGGTTCTTGCAGTTTCCACATTCTAAATTACTTGAAGATACTAACCCTGTTTGCTGTTTTGTTCATCTGTGGATTCCTTTGTCACTCCTACACTTAACGTTGGACCTGGTAAGCTCTATAAATGGATGATTGAATGGCGGGGGAGGCAAGCAGTGGAAAACTGGGATTGCACTTGTAAATAAAATACAAAACACTACATTATCCTCTCAAGTAGTCCATCCTTTTCCCAGATTTCCAAGGTAAAACTACAGAACTTTTTTGAACTTTTTTTCTTCTGCCCATCCTCAGGCAGAGCTGCTAATGAGGTGTAATGCATTGCACATGAAAGATGAGTAACCAATGCAGAAAAATGCAATTTGGGTTTTTGCATAATCAAATGTTGCTTATTTCCATTCTTTCCCAGAGCATATAATTCATTTTCAGAGACCATCTTTCTAAGCTGTTTATTTTGCTGTTCTATGTATATTCCTTTTCAGTCTGTCTTCTGAATTATTTGTTTTAATTAGTTATACATGACAGTAGAATGCATTTTGATATATCATACATAAATGGAGTATAACTTCTCATTCATCTGGTTGTACATGATGTTATAATTATAGATCATGTAATCATATATGCACGTAGGGTAATAATGTCCAATTCATTCTAATGTCATTCCTATACCCATGCCCCCTCCCCTCCTTTCACTCCCCTCTTTCTAGTCCAAAATACCTCTAGTCTTCCCCTCCCCCATTGTGAATTATTATCCATATATCAGAGAAAACATTTGGCCTTTGGTTCTTTGGGATTGGCTTATTTCACTTAGCATGATGTTCTCCAGTTCCATCCATTTACTGGCAAATACCACAATTTTTTTATTCTTTAAGACTTGGTAATATTCCATTGGGTATATATACCAGTTTCTTTATCCATTTATCTGTTGAAGGGCATCTAGGTTGATTCCATAATTTAGCTATTGTGAATTGAGCTGCTATAAACATTGATGTGGTTGTATCACTGTAATATGCTGATTTTAAGTCATTTGGGTATAAACCTAGGAGTCGGATAACTGGGTCAAATGGTTGTTCCACTCTCCACACTGCTTTCCATAGTGGTTGCACCAATTTGCAGCCCCACCAACAATGTATGAAATGTACCTTTTTCCCCACATCCTCGCCAACATTTATTGTTGCTTATATTCTTGATGATTGCCATTCTGATTACTCCAGTAAGATGGAATCTCAGTGCAGTTTTGCATTTCTCTAATTACTAGAGATGTTGAACATGTTTTCATATATTTGTTGATTGATTGTGTTTCTTTTTCTGTGAATTGTCTGCCCATTTATTGATTGGGTTATTTGTTTTTGTTTCTGTGTGTGTGTGTGTTAAGTTTTTTGAGTTCTTTATATATCCTGGAGATTAATGCTCTATCTGAGGAGGTGTGTTTGATAGATCTTTTTTCCTTTCTGTAGGCTCTCTCTTCACATGCTTGAATGTGAAGAAGCTTTTTAGTTTGATTCCATCCCATTCATTGATTCTTGATTTTACTTCTTGTACTTTAGGAGTCTTGTTAAGGAAGTCAGGTCCTAAGCAAATGTGGCGGATATTTGGGCCTACTTTTTCTTCTATTAGGCACAGGGTCTCTGAGTGTATTCTAAGATCATGATTAGAATGCAACCTACTGGGAAAAAGTACAAGAAATTTTCTGGCAATATCATTTTGTGCTATAGATAGGATTATCTTGCAGTTTCCTAGTGAATGGCAGTTTGTAAAACAGACTTCTAAGAGCCCATCAAACTTCAGAGTTGGGAGAAACTAAGAAACCAATATGCTCCCTTCCCTGTCCACACACATACACACCCATTACACAGGATAACTTTTCATGTCATCTTGCTCTCTTAAAGTAGTGCATATTGTTTAGTCTTTAAATCTGGGCTAGTTGCTAAACTAGTACTTTCAAATTTAAATTCTTGAGAAAATAGGACACAGAAGTAATAATTCTTATCTTAAAAAAAAGGCATAACATTATCATTTCCTTTTGATCACATAGTGTTGGATGATTTCTCATTTGTATAGAAATCAGCTGAGTAAATCTTAGACTTTAGAATGAAATTACTGGACATTTTAACCTTATTCAAGACTTAAAGATATCTTATTTTCTCTCTAGGTGGTACGGGACTATAATCTTCAGCTGTTTTTACAAGAGAATGCTGTATTTCACAAACCTCAACCCTTCCAGTTCCAGCCCTGTGACAGTGATACTGTAAGGGGAATTCAGATTCTCTTATCATTTTTTTTATTGTATTTGTGCTTACATAGTTATCATCCTTGGAATAGACAGGGAGAGCTGAGTGTATCTCATAATTTTGTAACAACACTATGAAGATGTAGAGAAACCATGACATTTCTTCTGTCTACCATGTAAGGAACACACCCAGTGTCTTTATACTAACAACTTCCTACTGAATAAGATGAAGTTATGAAACAAAAGTAATGAAAATCTGAAAACTGAGGGAAGAAGAAAAATTATTCAACAGATTTATTAAGATGTACATTATGCTTTCTGTACATGAAATTCTTTTGTTATACCTCTCAAAGAACCCAGTGGTTAAATTTTAACCAGAGTAGAGTGAATAATGTAATAATATATATGGGCATAGAGATATTTTAGTTGGCTTTAGAAAGCAATTATGGGCCTTTGATAATTCATTTAAGATTTTAGAATGTTAACATAAACCCCAAATTGGCAACTTTTAGAGAACTTACATTAATTATACATTTTTCTCAAGTTTAAGAGAAATGTTTGCCATTATTTGAATTTTTAAAATGATGAACAAAAATATGAATTTTTTGACATAAAATAATGAAATTTAGCTTCTACAAAATGAGAATATTGGCATTCTAATACATTCTCTAAAAGTAGGCAAACCAAGAGGGAAGTCAAATTATATTCAAAAACTCTTTTAGTAAATTTAGAATCTGAAGGGAGTGTATGATATATTTTCAGAGTTTAATGATATCACTTTAATAGAAATGTATTTGTTGGTGACATCCTCATTATTTTTCTTATATTTTGAATAGCCCTGTTAATAGCTATATAAGGAAATACAGGACTGGGGAATGTAGCTCAGTGGTAGAGCACTTGCCTAGCATGTACAAGAGCCTGGGTTCAGTCCCTAGTACTGCAAAAAGGATAGAATAAAATAAGAGAAATATTTAGGAAAAAAAAAGAAATATAGGAAATTAGTATTTGCTTCTTAGATAATGGCTTTTGCCATTTATATTAGTGACCTTTTGAACAAATCAGATTTTTCTTAACGACTCAATGATATTGTCCTATAATTTGACTTCTTTGAAGCTTGGGATGAATGAAGTAGAGCCTTAGAAGAAACAGAGCACGGACAAGTTTATCAAACTTGACTTAAAATTGTGACTAGAGTACTTTATTTTTGCCTATTTGCCACATAAAAATCAATCATCTCACTTTCAAAGGCCAATTGTAGCCCTAAGTCCTTCTATCTTTGTTTCTAAACACTGCTAAATGTTCTTAGCTGTTGTGTTCCTGTTTGCCTTATAATTCTAACTCTGTGCTGTGTTTTCTATCCTTGTGCAATCTTTACTGGGTAGAGTTTAAGAGCTGCCCAACTGGTGGATATTGAGCTCTCCCCTGTCAGTGCTTTGAGAATGACCATAGCTGAGGTATATCGGGGTATGGGTCAAGGGTGGGAGGGATGGAATGTCTGGGGGTTGCATGTTAATGAAGGGTGGGACCTGGTGTGGGACTGAGTCATAATTGTCTGTATACAGGGCCCCTGAATGCATCAGCAGTAGCTTTCTGATTTTCCCTTATAACCTAGGAATTTCCTTTACTTTGTATAGTAAATAGATTGAGCTTCTCATTTTTCCTTTTGTCTGAAACACCTTAGTTTTCCCAACAGGAGTGTGGGAAGAACCCAAGAGCTAATCTTGGCTGTAAAAAAAAGGGAACTATATCCTAAGAAGGAAAAGAGATTTGCAGAGTCCTGTGGGGAATGAATGACACACAGCTGTTCTGATTGCAGTTCTAATGCTCTTTCTGTTATGCTGTTGTTTCCTGAAAAAGATGTTGGAAACTTAGAAGCCATTAATTTTTTTCATAATAGAAAACAATAAATACCTGTGGTTTTATAAAAATCCTTATAATGATTTTGAAAACGTTAACTATAAAATATTTTATGTATAATTTTTGTTGTGTTATAAATTAAGCATTCTTATTGCTTACAAAAAACAAATTTACAAGGTTGGGGATATAGCTAAGTGGTAAAGTGCTTGCCTTGCATGTCAATTCCCAGTGCCAATAAATAAGTAAACAAACAAACAAATTCCCAAGCAAGTATTTTTACTCAGTATGGACCAGTATTTTTCCTTGTGGAAATGGAGCCATTGTTTACTTGCTTCTCTGGTTTTACTTCCTGGAGCTGGTAGCACAAAGCTTGGCATGAAATGAAGAGAATACAAGTCAGTGTCCATTAACTCATTTTTTCTGCCAGCTGAATCTTGGACATGTAGGAAGTACCACTCACCTCTATCTTCAGTGTGTTTCTGAAATTGCTCTTGTTGGTTCTGTTTTGAAACATATCTCAGTTCAACAAACACTGAACCCCTACTGTATGTTCCAGTCATTCAACTAAATGCTGAGGATAGCTATGACATGCTGAACTATAGACCTCAGGCTAGATGAGCTTGCTCTTTTCATAAGTTTATTGAGGCATATTTACATATCATATAATTCACTCATTTCAAGTGTGTTCAATGATTTTTAATGAATTTACCAAATTATGTTTCATCATCATAAATAAGTTCTAGAATATTTTCATGATCCTGATATGATCCTTCATGTGTATTTATTGTTAATCCACATCACCCCTCCCAGATACAGGCAACCACTCTTTCTAGTTTTATTCTTTTTAGATTTGCTTTTTCTAGACATTTCACATAAATTAAATCATACGATATGTGTAGTCTCTTATGCTTTGCTGCTTTCATTTAACATAATATTTTCGAGATTCATCCATGTTGTAGAATGCAGCAGTATGTTTTGTTCCTTTTTATTGATGATTAGTATTCCATCATATGAATATACCACATTTTGTTTATCTGTTTATCTATTCATCAGTTGGTGAACATTTAGGTTGTTTCTCACTTTTGCTCTTATGAATAGTGCTACTATGTTAATTGCTATGCCAGTCTTTGTATGAATGTGTTTTCATTTCTCTTGGGTTACTGGGTCATAGTAAATTTCTGTTTAAATGTTTAGCAAACTGCCAAACTGTTTGCAAGAGTAACTGCAGAATTTCATATTTCCATCAGTATTGGGTGAGGATTCTCATTTCTCCACATCGCCACCAATATTGATTGTTATTTGTAGTTTTTTTGTTTTTGTTTTTGTTTTTTCATTTAACACTCTACCATTGAGCTTCTTCCCCCCACCAGCCCTGTCTCTTTGGTTATAACCTTGCTCGTGGTTGTGAAATATCTCATGGTAGTTTTTATTTGCATTTGCCCATGACTAATATTGTTGAATGTTTCATGAGCTGATTAGCCATTTATATATCTACTTTGGGAAATGTCTATTCAAAACTTTTTTGTTCATTTTTTATTGGATTGATTGGATTAGATTTTTGTAGATGAATTGAGATTTATCTTATAGAGATTGAGGAATAATATGTCAGGAAGTTAAGACAGCAATTGAAAACAAACAAACAAAAAAAATAGGTGGCATTCTTTGAACATTTTATGCTAGACATTTTTCTAATTACATGACCTATATTAACTCATATAATCCTCATGACAACCCTATGTCTTAGGTGCTGTTTTTCATCTCCCCTAATCAGGGTCCCTCAACTAGAAAGTTTATAGCTAAAACATTTGTAAGTATATGACCTGTTCCTGAGATGGCAAATAGTCTTGGGATGAAAGAGAAACTGAAAATACCATAGGCATATGTTGCAACCAGATTTTATGTTTGGTAATTCTGTATACAGTGTTAGATGGAGAACTATGGAATATTTTCAAGTAGGACAAAATATGATGAGATCCATTGCAGAAGTAGGACAGTATTGTTCTTAATCAAAATTTGAATTAAGAATATTTAGTTGCTAATATTTTCTCTAAATTTAGGTAAGATACATGTAGGAAAGCCATAGGATGTTTAACGTTACTACTGTAATAAAATATAACTTATTATCATATACTATGTTAAAACTTAAAGAGAAAAAATTTTCAGATAATCCACTTCAAATTACAGTGTTCTACAAAAGTTCAAAACATCCAACTAAAAACATATAGTCACAGTATTAGCATAGGAATTTATTTAAGGCTTGGAATTATTATGCCTTTTATTTGGCTTATCTTTTATTTCTGACTGATAGAATTTCCTTTCATGTTATCTTAATATATGATTATTTTGACTCATTCTTTAGAATGATATGCCAAAAGGAACTGACTAGAAAGTTTTATGAAGCCACATGTCTGTCTAGCCATAGACTGGGGTATTTATAATATTAACCATAAGATGATTACAAGTAACAGTGACCAAAGGAAAGTGTTGTTTGATGTGACCTAGTAGCTATCTTGTGGTTAATATTGAAAGGAGCTAGCCAGGCATGGTGGCACATACCTATAATCCCAGTGGCTTGGGAGGCTGAGGCAGGAGGATCAAGAGTTCAAAGCCAGCCTCAGCAACTTAGCAAGGGCCTAAGCAACTCAGGGAGACCTGTCTCTAAATAAAATACAAAAAAAAAAAAAAAAAAAACCTGGAGATATGATTCAGTGGTTAAGCACCCCTGGGTTCAATCCCTGGTCCCCTCAGTCCCCTCTCACCCCCCCCGCCCCCCCCCGCAAAAAAAGAATATTGAAAGGAGGTTTTCTTGTCTATTGTCTATATTTCCATATTGTGTTATTGATTTCTAAAGTGTCCTTTCTTTATACCTCATTACCATTTATCAGATGATGGTAACAGGTCAAAAATTCTTTAAAAAAAATGAGCAGAGTACATCTTTCTTTGCAGAAATGAGTTTTTAATGCAAAATTATTCTGAGGAGGATATGGAATGTGTCCTAAAACACCTCCCTAAATAACAGGTATTCTGTTTAGAATTGACAAGTACATTGATTAGAATATCAATGTTGGAGAGTCCTTCAGCTGTCACACAGGTCATACTGGTGTTAGATATTCATACAGGTGTCATACAAGAACAAGTCCTAGGTATTAGTATCTAAAACT